CCTACTGACTAATTATACATAGCAGATCAAGAAAGATATGTCTAGGTAAGTTTTATCTGAGAATAACTGGTCTTTGCCCAAGATTTATCTACATGACACACAGTAATTAAAAATACCAGACTGATGGTTTGCTCCTTGCCCTCCTAGGTCGACTAGTTCCAGGGAACTATGAGCATCTCTCAAAATGTCCTGTAATTGTAGTGGGTCACCTGTCCTCTGATCAAGGAGGCCGAGGAGACCCCAGCACATGGACTAAATGGGACATCTTTAACACACCCACCCTTTCCTGCCGAGGCTTAGGGAACATTAGGGAAAAGGATGGGGAGGACTGCTGTGAAGTGCAGTTTTCTGGACCTGTTGTAGCTATTGTGCTTATGAACTCACAGCAGTTGTGGTTACCTGAACAAGACCTGTACAAAATCAAGTCAGTCACAATTCTAATACAGACGCTTTTAGGTAGGCACTTTTAGGCCCTACACCTTACTGAGGTGTATTGGCAGTTGATATCTGCTAGGGAAGGGAGAATCATTCTTCTTCAAGGGTGTGGCTGCTGGTAGGTTTGTCATGCTCCATTGGATAGTGCCACAGCCATTCACATATGATCAGCACTAATTGGAAGGAAAGAAGGGAGGGAGGAAGGGAGGAAGGGAGGAAGGGAAGGAGGGATGGAGGACATGAAGTGGGAAGGGGTACATGTTAAGGGATTTCCAGGAGGAGTTGGGAGATGAAATGGGGAGGAGGATCATATTCACTATGTACACATTTATGAAATTCTCAAAGATTAAAAAATAGGAATTTTATGAGTGAAGATGTTTAGAACTGGAGAGAAATTTGTAGGGGTGGCATTCTGAACCCAAATACAAAATTAGCAAAGCCCGGGAGGTGGGGTACAGAGGTGAGATTGAGAACCACAGAATTATGAAGGAAGTGTAAAATTTTCAGACATGGCATATATATTTTTCAACTTTTGTTAGTATTGATAGTTTTATAGCACTGTGATATGAGAATGCCTTTTATACTTTGCTATTTGGAGGGAATTTTTGATGTTTTATATGCGACCTAATACATATCAAATTTTATGCTCATTTGATGGCTACTAGAAAAGATATTTTCTATTTCCGGGGGGTGCAAATATGATATTCATGACTGTATATATACATACACACACATATATATGTCTATCTCATATATATATATATACACACACAAATATAGGCATATATGAATATAGATCATACTAGATATGATCTGCCATTTTAGTAATTTTATCCAGATAGTCTATATCATTACCAATTTTGTCCATTGATTTGTCATGAATTAAAAGAGATAAGTAATTTCCTGCTTTTCATTGTCTTCTGCAGTCTCTCCTGACCCTCTGAGGTTGTTGTAGGTGGGGTGGTTCGGCATTCTGCAAGGCTGACCCGTGACTACACTGTGGGCAGTTTGGCACTTGTGACTTCTAGTGAACACCAAAGGAATTCTCCAGCTTTTTTTGTCAATCAGAAAGTCCTACCAGGAAATTAGAGGCAGTATCATTTGTATCTGAGAACCACTAATATTTGAAATAATGGTTTTAAGATCTCTTTTCCTTTGCCATTTGGTAATTCTGTATGTCATGCTACAGTTTTGTTTTTTTTAAATTGAAAACAACCTGTGTTTGAAAATGTAGTTCTTCACCCCTAGTGATGTGAGAAAACCAATGTCGGGGCTAGAGAACTGGCTCAGTGTTTAAGAGTGGTTGCTGCTCTTGTGGAAGACGTGAATTCAGATTATAACATCCATGTAGGGTGGCCCAGTAGCATCGTTTGGTCTCTACAGGCATGCGCGCGCGCACACACACACACACACACACACACACACACACACACACGCACACTTAAAAAATTTAGTGTAATTTAATTCCAGAGGGAGCCACTGAGAATCATGGAGCACCAAAGTTACTGAAGTTAAATCTCCCTCACCACTATTTGCCTTATGTTTAGGTATGAGACTACATAGTGTACAAATAAATTCACTCTTCCTCTTAAAGTAGCCTTAAAATCCAGACCTCATACTTCAACAGTCTTAACTTTTATTAACACCTGCTGCAGTTAATCTCCCAAAGGGCAAGCTAAATTAAATTGACAAGATCTTGAATGCCAATACAGCTTACTAAATAACATGTATACATGTAAATTAATAAGTTCTCAAGGTTCTAAAATAAATTCCTAAAACATCAGGTAAACTTGTGTACATGTAGCAGAAAAAACAGCAAACTATGTGGAGACAGTAGAATGTTAGCTCTAAAAATAAGCTCTGAAGTTCTTTGAGCTCTAAATGAGCTTACTAAAACTTGTGCACAGACAGTACAGAACTATAACGATGCTGAAGCAACTTTTGGCTAGCTCATCAGAATTTGAAAGAATCCCCTATGTGTATGGGTAGGATTTGAAACAGCTTAACCGAGGCTAAGGCACACTGACATCTAGTTCTTTGGAGGGTGGTTGAAAATGACTTTCACTGCTGTAGAAAGGAGAAGAAGCATGTAGTTTTGGGCATTCACCTGAGCATACAAGAGCTATTCTTACTGTGGCTCTTCTATTCTGGTCAGCACTTGAAAACCCCTCACAGAAAGCTCCAAATCGACTGCTGGAGAATTAAGTTGTAATGCTTCTGTTAATGTTGTCTAACATTATTTATTGATGATAAAAGAGTCCACAGATGTTTACAATAAAAGTAGGTGGGTAGGGAGCAGGAACCGAAGGTCAGGTGATCCTGCACACAGAGATTGCTAGTTTGTGGACAGTTCCAATGTGATAAAATCCAGTTAGCATGAAATTCATGTAGGGTGCTATTTAAATTGATCTTTCCTGATATGGCAGGTGATTTATGGCTGTTGTTTATCTCAAAGACAGAGCATCCTAGGTTATGTTCTGAGACTAGATTTAGAAACCCACTAACTCATTCCCTCAGCCTACACCTACATTTAGGTTTTTCCACAATCCTTTTCTTTTAAAGAAGGAGGATTACTAACTGCCTTCATCTAGGTGTCCCCCTGCACAGAGTAGTTAAAATTCCTTCTGGGTGGCTCAAATGACAACTGGGCCCCTCCTCCCTTGGTCTCTATGACAAACTGAGGTCCAATTTCACCAAACTGCACTCTGAGAAACAAGTGAGTTTATTGGGCTTACTTACAGAGCAATGGGTGCACTGGAAAGTCTTCATCCAATTGTGGATGAAAGATGACTTCCCCAGAGCTGCATAAAATGGCCAGAGAGACTCCCCCTTGGTTTCCTCAGTTTATATACTCACGCAACTAGGGATAATTGGTTGTTTGGGAGGTACAGCTTACTCTCCCTGTCCCTCCTTTCTTGCTGAGAGTAACAGTCAACAAGCTTAGCTGTGGTGATCCTAGGCAAGTGGGTGCAACCAAGCTTGGGAAGAAGGCTTCTGTCCATGGTCTGCCTGCCAAAGGACAGTCTTATCCAACAGCGCTCTACCCGTTTGCCATATTGCTGGTCATCTTAAGGATTGCCCTGAACCTTTCCTACTTTAGAACCTCAAGCTCAACCTCAGCTTTGCATGTTCAAAGGTCTGTGTTCAATCCCTAGTGCAGTGTCCTCCTATACAATAAGTACATTTCCTCTAAGTTGCCTGTATTTTTATCAGATATGTTAAGTTGGAGTGATCTCTTGCCTGAGATAAATTTTATTGAGGTTTGTAAGCCTCAGAAGTCAGCTGGTCTTTAACTTCACATCTATCCTGTGATTTAATGATCAAATTGTGTTCAGGTCTACACATCTTTCTTGTGTTAAAAACATGGTGGTTTCAAATGGCTGTCCTCTGCAATGTTTTTTTTCTTCCTCTTTAATTGCACGTCATGCACATCTTTTCTGTTGTATTTCCCATAGAACTTAGTCAGTTCTCTGCTTCCCATTCCCCCTTTTCTATACGTCCTCATTTTAAGCAGCGTTATTGCATGGGTTCTGTGACTGTGGAGAACTACAGTGATGTGACTTCAAGAATTCAGTTTTGCTCTGTAAGGACTGTTAATCAGGGTAGGAACAAGGGACCAGACAGTTGTCGACTGACAGAGAATAAAGTCAGCCAGGGATGATGCGAATGAGCTTTCTGTCTAGAGCATTTGTATGGTTAAAATAAAAACAAAACGCCACTCATCTTTACTCTTTGGCTAAACCCTTCAAAGCCATTTCAGCTGCCATTTCATTGCATCAGGATTTCCCAATCATTTCTTTACCTGTGCACACACCTCCATCTGCCTCTTGGCTTTCCTCATGAGCAAGTACGACCAGAATACAGGTCTGCAGTGTAAGGCTCCTTCTGCGTTGTGGCATGCTTGTACTTACATTCATCTCTTGGCTACACTGAGTTCTTTGAGGCTTGAGATAAGGGACCATGCCATATTCTTGTTTGCTTTATTATTGTTTCTTTTAATTGCGGCAGAAGTCATGACATACAAAAGTGACTGAATTAAAGTGACTACCTCACTGACAGTTGGCACACTCATGGTACTATCCAACCTCCACTCCTATCTTGTTCCAGACTATTCTCACATTCCCTAAAGGAAACTCCGTACTTGTTCCACAGTTGTTCCTTGTTCCTCTCCTCCTCAACCCTGGCAATGGCTGCCTGTCATATTTGTATCCTTGGTGACTTGCAAAGTACCTTGCTTAGAGTAAGTGTTTAACAAATTTCTGCTGGAATAATGAATGGATTAGAAATTCCAAAGGGAGAACTGTCTTTGTTAAAATTGCTTTATTCATCTATAATTTTGGACTGACTACAGGGGAGGCAGTGTGCTGGGTATAGGCACAGGCATGATAGACATATCCTTGTCTTCATGGACTTTATAATCTACCCCAGTGCTGGATAACAGAAATAGTATATGATCCACACCTGTAATTTAGACTTTCTAGTAGTCAAATGAATTTTTTTTCTGTTGCTGCTGTTGCAGTTACCAAAACAAATGGCTTAAATCTACCTCAACTTATTTTCTTAAGGCTCTGAAGGTCAGAAGACAAAGGCTGGCCTCACTAGTCTAAAATCAAAGTGTCAGCAGGCTACATTTCCTGTGGAGCAACGCATGCAAAGTCTGTCAAATTCCAGGTGAGTTTTACACGAACAAACATCTCAGTTTGACCTAAGCACATGTGTTAGGTACTTTTCTCATTGCTATGACAAAATACTTGACAGAGTGACTTAAAGAATGAAGGTTTTTTTTTTTTTTTTTGGTTCAGAGTTTGAGGTTATTGAGGGTATAGCCCATCATGGCAGGCAAACGTTTGAGGCAGCTGGTCATCTTCCATCCACAGTGAGGAAGCAGATGCTGTCTCCTTTGTAGTAAATCTGGAACCCTACTCTATGGAGAGGTGTTGCTCACAATTAGTGTGGGCTTTCCCACCTCAACTAGCCAATATCTAGAAACTCCCTCAGAGATGTGTCCAGTGTTTGTCTCCCTGGTGATTCTGGATCCTGTCAAGTTGACGATCACTACACATGACTGGTGTTTTCCCTCTTGCTCAGCATAGAGCCTGGGGACTAGAGAGACACTGAAAAAGTCATTACAAATGTGATGTGTGTCAAGGCAAAGTACAGAATCCTACAAGACCTTCAGGGAATCTAAGCTCATTGTGAGTTGTAGACTTCCCAGAGAAATCAGAACACAGAGCAAAGGACAGGTTGCATGCACCCTCCTCTTTCTGACTTTCAACCCTTCATTGGGTTCTGCTGCCCTGTGGTCAAGTCCATGTTAAGGATTGCACCCATCTAAGTAGGAAAGAGATGGGATTGGATTTGCATTTCTTAGACAATCACTCTAGGCATTTATAAGTCCCATTTTCTTCATTCTTAATCTAAGTATTGTTTTATATTGGAGAAAATATATTCTTATTTGCTTGGGTTTTTTTTTTTTTTTTTTTTTTTTTGAGACAGTATCTCACTATGTAGCCCTGGCTGGCCTGGAACTTGCTATGTAGACAAGGCTTGCCTGGAACACACGGAGGTCTACCTGCCTCTGCCTCCTGAAAGCTAGGATTAAAGGTATATGACACCATGACCAGCCTGAAGAAAATATTTTTTAAAGTATTTTATTTATTACTGTCATTTTATGTGTATGCATGTATTGCCTGCATTAGGTAAGTGCACCCGTGTCGTGCAATACCCACGGAGGACAAAAGAGGCCATCGGATCCCCTGGAACTGAAGTTATGGACAGTCGTTAGCTGCCAATGTGGGTGCTGGGATTTGAACCCAGGTCTTCTGCAAGAATAACCAGTGTTCTTAACCACTGAGCCATCTCGCCAGCCCCCAAAATATTTTTGTTCCATTATTTTTTTTGTCACAAATTGCTCATTAAACCACAATCAGTAGAATCACATACTCTAGGCTTTTTATGTTTTAAAAATATTATTAAAGGGGCTGAAGAGATGGCTCAGCAGTTAAGAACACTGTTCTCGTAGAAGACCTGGGTTCAAATCCTAGCACCCACATGGCAGCTAACAACTATCTGTAATTCCTGTTCCAGGGAATCCAACAGCCTCTTCTGTCCTCCACGGGTATTGCACGACACGGGTGCATTTATGTACATGCCAGCAATACACACATACATACAAAAATAAGAAATAAAATATTTTTAAACAATATATATTTCTGGCAGGTGTTTTCTGGGACCCTCTCTTGCCTAGCCACTTGCATCCTAGGAACAAAGAGGGATGTACACTCCCTTCCTCATCTTCAGTGCTTGTCATGCCTTCCTGTGGGTTGACTTTCCAAACAAAGAGGAACTGGAGTCAAATTTCATCTGGCCTGGCAGGCATCCTGTTGGGTGAGGAGAACCACCGCTGAATTGTGAATTACTGAGGCTTCTGTGTGTGTGGTGACAGTCCTTGTCCTGCTGCCTCCATCTCCTGGGACAGCAGTGCTTTTGAATGACTACCTTATAAAAGTATCCTGCAATAAGATCCTCTCAAGAAGACTTTACAAATTGAGCAGTCACAGAAGGCAGAGTTACATCCTAGGAACTGGTAATGCAATTGGTTCCAGGTGGTGGGATGGCATGGATGAGATGATGCTAATGAAATCTGCCATGCTATCTATTAATACTTCCATGGGTAGTATATTTCTTGTGTTCCCTGAGACTGGCAGGGAGGGCATAGGTGGAAGCACAGATAGTAGAACTTCTCACACTTCAGTGGTCTGTTTTCTGATATCCATGTATGCTTGGCAAACTTCCCTCTCACCTCTACCAGGTGACCAGATAGTACCTGCTTCTTTTTCCAAGGAGGACTCAGAGATTAAGGTGGCATGAGGTAGAAGCAAGCTCCCTAATCATTCCTCAGAGATCCAGTGCAGGTCTTGACCTTCAGGGGATCTTCATGGTACTTTGGTCTCAATGGCATTAAATATTAAAGGGACAGGTGATTCTGTATTTAACATTTGTACCTTTCGTCTCACAACCTAATATGTTTTAAAATTGGAGCTTTTAAAAAACTTAGTCTTATATGAACTTCAGTCTAGTAAGCAACTTGAAATAATCAGCTGCTAAAATACATTGGGTCCCTTCCTCGTGCCATCTTTCCTGGATCTGGCATTCTTTGGTGGCTGTTGATCTCATTCTGTAATTCTTCTCTCCACACTGGCTAAGAAGAGGCTTCTCTTGAGTTCCCTGGGTCCTTCCACATTCTGTCCTCTCTGACACTCTCTATACACTGAGTCTTGATTTGATACCCTACTATGAAGAATTTTCCATGCGAGAAGGAAACAGAACTTTGGCTTTACCAGGTCTGTTTCCCTTTCTGTCAGTTTCATGGTGGCACATAGTTTCTAGAGCCTTATTTAGGTGCAGGCAGAGAGTACTTTGTTGTTTCTCACTACAGATTCCAGCCTCAGCGGGAAGGTACTAAATAAGCCAGTCCTCTTCTCCCAGTGTCTCTGCCCTGAATCCAGTCAGTGTGTAGATTCACACAATTCTTGCTGAAAAGGCAGACTCACTTTGTGATCGAGTATGATCCTGGGAAACCAGGAATTTTTCTTCAGCGATCACTTAGGCCTCATAGGTGCTTAAAGAGCACAAATGCCGCACCCGAGATCCACGTTGAAAACAAAAGCACATGCTGTGGTCAGCTGTGGGCTGTTGAGAATCTCAAATGTTCCTCCATCTCTCATAATTTCAGTTTGTAACGACTTGCAAAGATTTCAAACTTTGGAAACAGTATGTGTGATGCACACATTAAATCATTTTCATTGCTACCCTCTAAGCATTGATTTGAACCAAAATATTAGTATTAGTAGAAATTAATGCATTGGGGGTCAGTTAATTGAGAGGGAGTATGTCATGAAGTGCTCAGGCTGAAAGGATCCTTTGTCAGTTGGCCCTGCTGCTGATATTGTACTGTTGCTAATTGGATGGGGAAGACTGTTTGACAGCTCACTTTCCTGTATCATTTTTAGAACCTTCACGACCCCTGCCTACCTGAAAAGTTTGTCACATGGCCTCTTGTTTCCCCCCACCAGTTTGACACATATATTATTACATTTTAAATAGCACTTAGTCTGTCATATGGAGCATTAGCCTTGAAGATTTGCAGTCCATGTTGTAATTTTGAGGAAGAAAATTGGTTAAATGACAGGAGAAATATGGCATTTTATGAACAAAATTCTTTCCGAGTTTCATTTTCTATTCTAGTCATCCATATCCCTGTCACTAACCTCATTAGGTCAAGGGCTTTGGGGCATTTTGCGCAGAACTGGCATGTGTTTTGGTGACAGTGGCACACATTTTTAGCATCTGAACAGTGATTTTCCTTCCTGTTTGGGGGAATAGTCATTTTCAAAGGCCTATAATTTTTAACTTGAAAAATTAATATTGCACAATGCATTTTGCCTCAGGAGCCCTTTAAAGCTGGATGCTGAAGTTTGTCTCACTTTTCTCCTAAGTCTGGGAACTCCTCAAATTTTATCCAGCAGCCGTGAAGGTCAAGCAATTGAATTAACTTCCTTGGCAGGCTGGAGTTTGGGGATGTTGTTCTTTTATTTGACCCAAAGTTGCCAGGCATCTGAGGCAAACAATATGCCATGACTTTGAGTCTTTAAGGAATGCTTCCTTATTAGAATAATAATGGACAAATGGCCATGTTCATATTGAATGTGGACACGGAAGGAAACATCCGTAACTCTCTGTGTATGCCTGGATAACAGACATGTGGCACTGTGCTGCCAGCTCACATTTAGAATAGTTCCTCACCACTAAACAGATGCTGGTGTGAACTGGGTCACTGTAGCAGCCGGACATGAGAATGAACATGCTTCTTTATTCTTGCAGTGACAGCTTTTGCATTTCTCATGCTAATTTTGACAGTGACACCCTGCTCTGAAATATGAATACACGTGTTACAGTCGTATGGAAGCATTGAGAGATAAAAATCAAACTAGCTCCAGAGGATGCATAAAATACTGCCTCTTTGTTCCCATAATTCTCTTGGTGTTAAGGCATGGAATAAAGGAAGGGAGTGTGTAAGGGTGCATAGGGCTCTAATATAGACATTTTTTTAGTGATTTCTTGGTTGCAGCCACTCAGAAGGGTGCTAATTCACAGAGGAATGTCATCCTCTGAAAGAAGTCACTGACAGGAGGAAAATGGGCAACAGGATATGGAGCAGTGACATTCAGTGAGTCCTTGTCACCAGCAGTCATTAGCATGCAAGCCTGCTGTTAGTTTTCTGTGCTTTATGTTACTGTCTTGACCAGACAGGAGCTTTTGGAACAAGAGTAGCAGTTACTATCACACAACTTATTATTTCTTTCTGGAATGCTTTATATTTTTAGTACCAATGAGATCCTTGTCTGTCCCAATGTGCCTCTAAAAATTTAAAGAGAATCAAAGAATGCATAATTTATATCCATCCCAGAGGTAACAGTGACTCAGTGGTATCCATGAAGGGATGATTTTAAATTTCATGTCTTATGCAAGAGGTGATTTTTATGTGAAAATGGCAAGAGCTGGCCTCAGGGATCTCTAGATAATTATCCCTCTAACAGCAGAGAGAGATTCCAGGGGGATTATTGCTGAAAACTGCGGTGGATGAGCTATGCCCTTGTGAATCATGGTGA